TCACATTCTTAAGGTGAATATAAAAATAAAACCAGAGACTTTTCTTTTAGGCCTAATGGATAAGGAACTTTAAAAAAATATTAACCGGTAAGAATGTTTTGAATATTGTGGGGAAAATCAATTTAAATAAGAATTTTGTAAACAGGATCTATGACGAGGCAATCAAGATGATTTTTCCTAAGTATCTTGGGGTCCCGAGTCCCAGTCGCTGTCCCTAGAATCGAGGGATAAGCCGACAAAGATTCGGGGAAGATCTCAGCATGGAGAAAGAGAGAACGCCTGAAACCAGCACCCCGGCAATGGCTGCTACCCCAGAGGGGGGAGCGACAGCCAGCAAGCCGGGGGAGAAGGGACATTTCAGGCCTCCCAGCTGGGGCCAAAGCCCAAGCCGCAAGGACAGCTGATCTGGTCGTCGGAATGGACCCTACCCAGCAAAGACTCCAGGCACCTCGAGACGATCTTGCCACCCTCAACGGCTTCAAATGCAGGAGCGGTGGAGCTACCGAGAAGAGATTTCTGCATTTCGCGTTCCCCAGACTGGTTGAGAACTACAAAATCGTCTACCGTTGAGGACTCGAGTAAGTGGAAGTACCTGTCTGCAGCCAGTAGTCAGTCAGTGGAGAAGTTGGTGGAAAGATTCGAGGAGCTAGAGATGAGAAGTGGGGAGCAACCTTCCTATTCCCCATATGCTAGCGATCATGATGATCCACGAGGCAGCCACTAACTCCTGACCAGGGGAACCCCCAGTCCCACCTGTGCAGACCAGGCAGCCTCCCCGCCCTTGAAACCATCTACCAGGGCCTCCAGCCCCGTGGAGAGAGACAGGTCCAGTCGTCGCCCATCCAAAAGCCCAGATCGCCACCAATAAGAGCCCGAGCCATCGCCGGGACAGCCAATCCCCGGATAGATGCGCTTACCGATCCCCCAGCCCAGGACCCATACAGCAATGAGGGATGCCGCAGCCCGCACAAGTGGGGGGCCAGCAGCCTCTGCCAGAGCAGCAGCAGCCGAGCTGGGGGTGGCCGCAGCCCCTGAATATGCAGCAGCAGATGGGGGCTTTGCAACAAACGAGGGTGATGCAGCTGCCAGGAGGTCAGCAACCGTTGCGAGTACAGCAGTGGGGATGGCAGCAGCCCCCGCCCATGCAGCAACCATTGGGAGGCCTACAGCAACTGGGGGTGGCACAATAGCCATCACTGAGACCGGTGGGAGTTGCACAGCAATTGGGGATGCCACAGGCGCCGGCAATGCAGCAACAGCGGGGGGGTGGCAACAGCCCCCAAGCATGCAGCAATCGTTGGGAGGCTTGCAGCCACTGGGGATGCAGCAACTGCCATGGGCGGGGCATCAAAAGCTGGGGGTGCAACAGCCACAGTGGGGAGGGAGCAACCATTGGTGGCACCACCTCTCAGGGCAACTTTCGATGGGGCTGCTGAATCCACAAACTCAATGGTGGAGCAATATCTCAGATGCTATGTTAGCTACCAACAAACAAACTGGACTGACATCCTCCCTTTCGCAGAGGTGGCTTACAATAACTCTGTTCACAGCAGCACCGGCTTCACACCTTTTAAAGTAACCACAGGAAAAGAGTTCGCCCCGATACCCGAATATCCCCAGGCGCCCTCCGTTTCTCAGACACTTGATCAATGGGTGAGGGGGTGGGAAGAAGTTTGGAAAACCAGGAAAACAGCTTTTAAAAAGGCTTCTGAGACCTATAAAAAGCAGGCAGATAAAAAAAAAAGGATTCCTCAAAGAACATTCCAAGTTGGGGAAAAGGTTTATCTGTCAACTAAATATTTACGGCTTAAGTTACCTAGTAAGAAGTTAGGATCGAAGTACTTAGGACCATTCCCCATTGTAAAGATCATTAACCCGGTCACGGTGGAATTAAAACTTCCTAGGCTCTTAGGAAAAGTTCACCCTGTTTTCCATTGTAGCCTGTTGAAACCTTTTCGGGGTTCCACCTTAAGACCTCCCCCTAAGAAGGCACCCGGACCCCTCGTGGTGGCAGGACAGACTCACTAAGAAGTAAAGCGTATTCTTGATTCTAGAATTTTTAAAGGGAAATTGCAGTACTTAGTACAATGGAAGGGATTTTCGTTGTCTGAGGCCATTTGGGTGAAGGCTAGCAATGTGAAAGCTGACAGACTCATTAATAGGTTCTATAAGAAACACCCTAATAAACTGAATGGCAATCCCTAACCTGTGCTTTTGTTTACATTATAGCAAGGCTTTTCAACCAGTGGTATGGGTGGTACCTGTGGTACATTGGCACCTGACAGGTGGTACACAACCATCCTAGAAAAGTGGTAGCGAGAGAGGGGAATGAGATGTACCGGTGGCAGCACCACACAAGCCTGAGCGAGAGATGGCTGGAGCTGCAGGGCTATCAGGGCTCAATGGAAGCGCCAGGATCAGCACCAGGCTCCAGCTGGAGCTCAGCACTGATCCTGGCATTTCTGCTCAGCCCAGAAGAACCCCCATCAGCTGGAATGTTGCAGCATCTCCAGGGTCTTGTAATTTACATTCAGATGCTTGGCAACCGATTCATGTTTATGATGGTCACAGTGACGAAAACCTGCTGCAACCACCCAGCAGATGGGGGGAATAAGAAACAAACACCGCCCACCCCACCCCCACTGCCAATCCTCAACAGAAATGCTCACAACAATGAAAACCTCAGACAGGAGGAAGAGCACCGCCGGGTGGGCAGGCAGGTGTCTTGCTCGGCTGTGGCTTGGGCACTTTTTTCAGTGTCATTGTAACTTTGAACAGTCACTAAGCGAACTGTTGTAAGTTGAGGACTACCTGTATTTCATCACTTTTTTCCTTTTTTTTTTTTTGGTCATCAAGTTTTTGACACCTTGCTAGGCGACTGGTGGTACTCGGATGTTGCCATATCCTAAAAGTGGTACAATAGGTGAAAAGGTTGAAAAGCCCTGCATTATAGGATTTGTTCTTTTTGTAAGGGGGGCTGGATGTCAACGCTGCTAACATCGGATGTTTTTGCATTGACAACAGATAGAAATGTATTTTTGTCCCTTTCACTTTTAGAGTTAGATGATGCTAGGAGGGGGGGGCATGTGAATGGGAATCCAGCTAGACATAACAACACTAAAACTTAGCGTGAGAATCAAGGTTATTGAGCCAGAGCTGATAAAGAATTGGCGGGCTGGAGAACTGGGGAAGAACCCCGCGCTTCAAGCTAATTGGGGAATGTGATTTATGACTGTTAATTGGAGGAGGGAGGGAATTGTGCTTTGATACTATGTGCCTGGGGGGGGGAATTCAGTTTTTGGCTTCGATTATGTAAGTGCCGATACTATGTTACTCGAATAAAAGATCCTTTAAGGTAAACAATGCCTCGAAGTTCTTTTGAAGGGTTTCATCTGTCGGAACCATGACAGGGGGTGTAAAACGGACATAAGTTACTTTTTTCAGTGCTGTTGTAACTTTGAATGGTCACTAAGCAAACTGCTGTAAGTCGGAGAATACCTAGTATATATGCAAACAGAAATTCATAAAGTGGAAAGGTGATTGGGGAAGAATGAAGGGAAGAAAAAAAGGAGCGGGGAATGCTGATGGTGGCCCTCGGGGAGGGGGCTGAGCTGTGCCCTGGGGAGGATCATGGTTTCCTTGCCCCCCCCCCTTTGGCAGCTACTCTGGCATTCCCTCGTGTCTTCTCTGGCTGCCGCACCTGTTGCAAGACGGCCTGTGGGAGAGAACTGGAGAGTCCAACCTCGGCATTCTTCGAATGAACAGGCAGAGAAGAGCAGTCACAACAGTGGTGACAAGGCCCCAGCAAAGTCAGTGAAAGCATTGCCTGCAGGAATGCCAGCTGGCCACATGGATTTACAGAACAGAATAACAGAGTTGGAAGAGACCTTGGAGGTCTTCTAGTCCAACCCTCCATAGAAACAGGGGGCCCTATACCATTCCCGACAAATGGTTGTCCAATCTCTTCTTGAAAACCTCCAGTGATGGAGCACCCCAACTAAACTTCTGGAAGCAAGCTATTCCATTGATTAATTTGTTCTGACTGTCAGGAAATTTCTCCTTCGTTCTAGGTTGCTTCTCTGCTTGTTAGTTTCTATCCATTGCTTCTTGTCTTGCCTTCTGGTGCTTTGGAAAATAGGTTTACCCTCCTCTTCTTTGTGGCAGCCCTTCAAATAATGGAACACTGTGTCAAGGATGAAACTTTGGCAGCTATGTTCCTCTACATTTCAACTTAGCGTAAGGGGGGGGGAGTCTTACTTTCCAGTGGATTAGATGGAAAAATGAAATTTCTACAATTCCGCTGAAGACTGTGAGAACCTGAAACCTTTTCAAGGACACCAGAACAGGTGTGGATTTGAAGCAGACAGTTCCCATAACAAACAGAACTTGTTTATATGGACTACGTAAGACATTGGGGGTTTGGCTGGGAAAATTATTGTTTAAGTATGAATTGGTGTTAGAACCTCAGTTTTGTTTCAGCAAAATCAATCAACTTAATAAACAGTAAGATTTTTGGAAACGGAACGAACCTGGAGCTTTATTTGGATTCTCGAGCTGGATGTTGACACACTGCTATCATGTCACCCCTAGTCCTTATTTTCATTAAACTAGACATACCCAATTCCTGCAACTGTTCTTCATATGTTTTAACCTCCAGTCCCTTAATCATCTTTGTTGCTCTTCTTTGCACTCTTTCTAGAGTCTCAACATCTTTTTTGTATCGTAGCAACCAAAACTGGATGCAGTATTCCAAGTGTGGTCTTACCAAGGCATTGTAAACCCTTATTAACACTTCACATGATCTTGATTCTATCCCTCTATTAATGCAGCCTAGGATTGTGTTGGCTTTGTTGGCGGCTGCAGCACACTGCTGGCTCATATTTAAGTGATTGTCTACTAGGACAATCCCTCTCACAGTTAGTACTATTGAGCCAAGTACCACTAAATGTTAGCTTTCAAGCGCCACTAAGCCATTTGCGGGATTTGGTGGAAAGACTAACATGGCCATCCCCATGTTAAGCATTTGGGGAGACTCTTCCGGAAGCATCCCGTCAGTGTGCACCCTTTGATGCAAAGTCAGGTTTGTGCTTTGACTGAAGCTTTTCCCACACTCGGAGCAGGTGTAGGGCTTCTCCCCGGTGTGGGTTCTCTTATGTCTAATAAGGCTGGACTGATCCCAAAAGCTCTTCCCACAGTCCGTGCAGCCGTACGGCTTCTCCCCCGTGTGCATCCGCTGATGCGCATTGAGGCTGCCCCTGTGACTGAAGCTCTTCCCACACTCGTAGCATTTGTAGGGCCTCTCCCCCGTGTGATGTTGTCCATCAGCATGGACAGCCTGATACGATGGAGGAATTAAAGGAACTAGAAACTTATCTCGGTTTTCCAGAAATGTGTATGAACTCTCTCCTTCAGAAAGCATTTCCCTGTCTCTGGTGTTCTTCCCCAAAATACTTTTCTGGGATTCAATCTCGGCAGATATTTCCCAGTGATCACTGAGACATCCATTTCTTTCCTCTCCTTCCTGGTTTTTTTGCTGGAGTGAGATTTGATGGAACTCTCCAACGGGACAAGGAAGGGATTTATCGATCCATTCTTCTTGTTGGCTTTCTTCTTGGTGTGAGGGTTGAATTCGGTTCCAGACTTTCTCTTCAAAGGGTTCCTGCTCAGTTTCTTCAGAGAAATTCCCACATAGTTTCCCCTCCGTTTCATTTTTCCATTCAGATCCTGTTGGAATTAAGATTGGGAGATGATTAGAGCTCATACCAAACTACTCAGAAGTAGACTCTCTGAGAATATTTGGGGTTCCCAATTAAATAACAATAATGAGGAAAAAACGTTCTGGATAATGGATGTCTATGGAGGTTTTCAGTCATCCAGGTCATGGTTGTCCCAAAGGTGCTTTTTCAAGAGGCAACTGGACTTTCACGAAAGTCCAGTTGCCTCTTGAAAAAGGACCTTTGGGACTTCTGGAAGGTGGACGTGGCAGGACCAGGAGACAGCAGAAGACAAGAGAAAGAACTGGATTAGATGGAGAAATGAAATTTCTACAATTCCACTGAAGACTGTGAGAACATGAAACCCTTTCAAGGACACCAGAACAGGTGTGGATTTGAAGAAGACAGTTCCCATAGCAAACTGAACTGGTTTATATGGACTACATAAGACATTAGGGGTTTGGCTGAGAAAATTATTGTTTAAGTCTATGAATTGCTGTTAGAACCTCAGAATTAGTTTTGTTTCAGCAAAATCAATCAACTTAATAAACAGTAAGATTTTTGGAAATGGAATGAACCTGGGAGTTTTATTTGGATTCTCGAGCTGGATGTTGACACACTGCTATCATGTCACCCAATAATTAGTTCCCATCTGTTGTTTCTTGCCCTACCTACAGGTGCTTGGTAAATAGGTTGACCCCCCCTCTTCTTTGTGGCAGCCTCTCAAATACTGGAATACTACTATTATGTCACCCCCTAGTCTCTAAACTGGCCCTACCCAAATCCTGCAACCATTCTTCATATCTTTTAGTCTCCAGGCCTTTAATGAACTTAGTTGTTCTTCTTTGCACTTCTTCCAAAGTCTCAACATCTTTTTTGTAACATGGTGACCAAAACCGGATGCAAGTATTCCAGGTGTGGCCTTATAAAGTGGTACTAATATACTAAGGCTTTATAAAGTGGTACCAATACTTCACGTGATTTTGATTCTATGCCTCTGTTTATACACATAAGGATTGTATTAGCTTTTTTGGCTGCTGTCGCACACGGCTGGCTCACATTTAAGTGATCATCCAGCAGTGTGAGGACGCAAGTGTCCTCGACTTACGACCATTCATTTAGTGACCATTCAGATTTACAATTGCACTGAAAAAAGGGATTTATGATCGGTCCTCCCAATTACGACCGTTGCATCCTCCCCATGGTCACGTGATCAAAATTTGGGTGCTTGGCAACTGGTTCATATTTACGGAAACTAACCAAGGAGAGAAGCAACCTAGAACTAAGGAGAAATTTGCACGCACGAGTATTTTTATAAGTTCTGTACCTGATCGACTATGTGGTGGCTTCCTCTTATGCAACCACGTAAAAATAAGAAATCTATATATACAGTACTTGCTTCAAGCTGCGCTTGGGGTTCTTCCAATCTTATGGGAGGACCCACCTTTGTTCAGCTGAATAAACGTGCTTCTGTTTAAGAGAGATAACCTGGACTCCTTCTCTTTGTTCGCAACAAGCCCCACCTGATCCCTGCTTGACCCTTCTCTCCACAATGACAGTGATTCACTGCAGCGATTCACTTAACAAACATGGCAAGAGAGGTTGTAAAATGGGGCAAAATTCACTTAACAACTGTCTCACTTAGCAACAGAAATTTTGCACTCAATTGCATTTGTAAGTTGAGGACTACCTGGGGTTTCACAGACCCATCCTGGCTTGCCCGATGAGGCAGTTGCTGTTTTGCCTAATTCAGATTGAGGTCTAATCTGGGGCTTGGTTCATCTTTCCTCACCACATTTTCCTCTTCTTTGTTAAGATATTTAATGTAATAGTTGGAGCAGTGAAGGGTTGGACAATGAATCAGAACACAGTTATAGCTGATTGGTTGAAGAGGGCTGGCCACTACATGAGGCAATCTAAGCTGTGATTGGTTGCCTTGAGCGAAAAGGGAGAGGTTCCTTGTTTCCCGCCTTTTTTCCTCTGAGTGCCCTCTGTAATTTACCTCATGATGCGTTGATTTACCTGATATGCTCCTGATTGCCTGATTACTATTTACTATTTACTATTAATATATTTGTTTATATAAAACTATATGTTTGTGTCAGCATCTCTGCCTCTATTTGGACACCGGCTGTGCAATTCCTTGACATTTTCCCCTGCAGTCCCCGATCGCAGAGGAGCTGAGGACAGGGACACACAAACACATACACCGTTTCATGAGGGACTGGCAGTCTTCTGCCCACCGAAGGGGCTTGCTAGTTCGTGCCCTTCCAACACACACACAGACACGGACCCACACGCCCCACTCTGTCAACATAGTCATGCCATTTACAACACCTCTGCGCCACCCTCCCCTTTTCTCCCCTTGCCCTTTGCGGTGGGCAGAAATGAAACTGAAATGAAATAGAAATGAAACAGACTGGGATTTGTTGCTTGAGTCTTTACTGAAGCTCAAAAGGTTCACATGAAGTCAGCTGTCACTATTCTAGAAGCTCAGCAACTGGGGACCACCTGCTGCTAAAGCAAAGGGGGAGCAAGGAAAGAGGATACAGGAAGAGACGAGATGGAAGCGTCAACAAGGAGAGGTCCCTTATAAGATCTTACTGCATCAGTCTTGCTGGAGAGAAATGCCTCTTCAGAGACAGATGAGAGGAAGGTACGGTTCAAGGCAAGGTCCTGCTAGGAAACAGAACTTATGCCAACGGGTGAGGGGGGGCTAGCACAATAGGCCTCCAGAGCTTTTTGGGGGTGAATCCCTTTTTTCGTTCATTTTTTGTCTGCCTGTGGCAATAATGGTCTCCTGAAAGAGCTGCACTGGGTTTTCCATGACAAATGAAGGCACATATACATGTCCCAGGATAACGTTGCAAGATCCAATCTTGGTCGGTCACCAGGACCAGATGTTTACTCTTCTGAATATTCAGACCCATGCTGACCTCAGGAAACCTCTCTTTACTGGAATACAGGTAGCCCTCAATTTACAACACTTCGTTTAGTGACTGTTCAAAGTTACAGTGGCACTGAGAAAAGTGATTTATCACTGTTTTTCACACATAAGACCACTGCAGCATCCCCAGGGTCACATGATCAAAATTCCGACACTTGGCAACTGGCTCATATTTATGATGGCTGCAGTGTCCTGGGGTCATGTAATTACCTTTTGCTGCCTTCTGACAAGCAAAGTCAATGGGGAAGTCAGATTCACTTAATCGTTTTACTAACTTAACAGCTATAGTGATTCACTCAACAACTGTGACAAGAAAGATTGTAAAATGAGGCAAATTCACTTAGCAAATGTTTCACTTAGCAACAGAAATTTTGGGCTCAATTGTGATCGTTAGTTGAGGACTACCTATATGCGCTTTGGGCTATTCTGTGAGTTGCAATTATGTGGTGCCTTCCTATTGGTTGATTGGGGTGTTGATGGCTGGCAATGGGCTGTTATTTCCTTGTGCTGTCATGTTCAACATTCTCCACAAGTTTGATATTTCAAAGAACCACTGTCCTAACTATAGGGAGGAGGAGAGCACAAAAGTTAGACGTCTGACCACTCTCCCAACTGTGCCTCGGTGCCACTTAGACTGTCCATATGGGAAATTCTGTTTTTGGGTAACAGGGAAAACCACAGTTTCCTGGTACAGCCTGACACCAGGTTACCTGAGTGGTGGGCTATGAACGAGCTGGAGAAGGCAAGGATGTGTCTCTTCAAAGAGTTGGTGGACCATCTTCAGGTCAGTTAAGCAGGACAGATGGATGAAATTATAGGGTATCACCTCTTCAGATCAAGATCTGTAAGGCAAGGGCTAGATGAACAAGGCAGAGGAATGAGGCTGTTGGATTTCTAGAATTGTTCTAGGAATTGGATTACACTATTTATACTCTTCCTTGTACCTGGAAACTGCATTGACCCCATATCTATCAGCAAGGCGATCCCATGGAATCCGTCCTTGAGGTGAACCCAGGTGACAGGGACACCGTTGTCTTCCAGCCTCTTCTTATAGAGCAAGCCGTCATCTCGGAAAATGTCGTATTCACAGGTTAAAAGGAAAGTCTCTGGAAACTGCTGGATGACGGCGTCTTCCGCCAGGAGTGGGGAAAATATGGGGTCGAAAACTCTTTTGCATTTTTTGAAAAGATCTTCTGAAAACGGACCAGGTACAAACGGCACGTAACCCCGGCCTTTAAATTCCTCCGGAATATGTTCTGCACTTATCCATTTCTGATACTTTTCCCTGAGTTCCTGCGGGATGTGGGCATTGGCCATAACTTCATTGAACCAGGCATTGGTTCTCAAGAGATAAAATGTGCCAATACGAACAGCATCTTTCTTGATTAAGAGGGGAATAGACTGGTTTTGCTGGTAAGAAGGTAAATTGAAATCCAGACTTTGTAGGAAAGGATAGATTAGTATGTGGGCCCGGGGCTGTGGCAGGTCCTTTGTCATCAGAAGTTGCTGAGCAGTGCTGGCAACAAGTGTGCCTCCGCTGCTATCACCAGCCAGCACGATCCGTTTAGGGTCCACCCCGTAGTCCTGCGCATTCCTCAGAAAATGTGATACGGCAGTGTAGCAGCTGAGTTGTTGAGCTGGATACGGGTGCTCTGGCGCCAAGGGGTATCTGAAGCAACAGTGAGTCAAAACACAATATTTCAAATGCATTCCTATTATTATGATGAATATATTATAGCTGCCCCACCCCAAAAAGACTGGG